ACAACCTAAAGCAAGAGAAAAGGACAAAGTGTTTTTGTCGTGAACTTGAAAACTAGAACCTCTTAGAATATAATCAACAATTGTGATCCTTGCTCCACATCATAAATAGGTTCACACGTCTTCGCACAAATCTGATGGTTTGTTAACAAAATATGGCATAGACTGTCAATAGAGCATTCTACCCCCTTCAATCCTACAGTCTTCCCATTCAAAAATCTGGTAACTTGCCGATTCCAAGAAACTAGTTATTTGGCATGGAACCAAATTCAATCCCTAGATTAGCCAGTGTCCAAAAACATGCCATCCATGAAGAGATCCCACCTAATAAATCACTGTTCAACCATATCAACTATGGTGTTTCTGTCTTAGCACAACAACTGGGCATGAGAGCCATCAAGCTAAAATCATGGTTGGCAAAAATCAGAATATTAGAGCAGGAAACACAGAGATAAAGGCAGTCTATCAAGGTACATCAGAGTAGAAGTATGGGATGGGTTGTATGGATAAAGTCAAAATGAGGTACCTAAACTCCGGCAGGCGCAAGGGCATGCTCCCTCCTCCACACCATGTGGACTAGTGACTCAATTCACTGCTGGAAAACAGACTTTTAGTGGCGTTTAAGAAACGCCGCTATATCTTTCAAAAACGTCGCTAATTCCTTTTGCGACGTTTAGTACCAAACGTCGAAGCTGCGGCCGTCGCTGTATCTTTACGACGTTTTAAAAACGTCGCGATATTAGAATAGGCGGCGTTTTTAGAAACGCCGTGAAATGTCCCTACATGACGTCACTATGATTTTAGCGACGCTTTCAAAACGCCGTCATATCTTTTTAAAAAAATTGACCATTAACCTTTTGGAGTTTAGGTGGCGTTTTAAAAACGCCGTGAAATCCTCTTGTTTTTTTTTTTTTTTTTTGAAATTATGCTAATTTTATGTGATTAAACTAAAAAAATACCTATAATAAAATTGAATAGCCGTAATATGAAATAACAACTCCCATTCAAATTATAAATGCAGCATTAATTCACTTTCCTATTCAATTTAATATCCAATCATCATTACCCACAAAATAACATATTCAAAAATTAAATTCACAATTCTCAACCAAAAAATTAGCAGTCCTATGGCAGCAAAAATCAACACCAGCCAAAAGTCACACATAGCCTTGTTCTTATCAACTAGACCAACTTGTATTACAAAAGCTTTTGTAAAATAATTTGCTTCCAAAAAATGAAAAAATGGATCATTATCCACATCCATACTAGATCTACCAGGTGTCTCTGGTGTCTCTGGGCGCACGCAAGTTTTACATGTTATAATCTGAATGGAGGAAGCTTTCATATGGCGTTCCGTAGAGTGCTCTCTGGATATCATCCCAGTTCTCAACGTGTTGGGACAATGAACCTTTGTGTATCTTCACTTGCTGACTCTTCAGATCCCTCTGTGGAACCCTCAGAAAATCTTGGACATCCTTCAATTTCTGCAAAATACATGGAAAACAGTACTTTTGTATGGAAACAGAAAGAAAAATAAAAATAAAAATTGGCATCTTTTTAGGATCAACTGTTTTATAAGACGATGAAATGTCTTACGGTGGAATTTTTTATTATGTCCTCGTAGTATAGGATAATGTGTTGGGTGCTCTTGAAGTATTCTAAAGCTTTGGCAGTCATTTCCTCTACTTGCCTCAGATTGCGGATCAGCAGTGTTGTATCGATTGTAGGTTTATAACTTGCAAGTATTTCTGCCTGAAACAGTATCACTTATTCATGACACAGAGAGAAGGAGAGGGAGAGAGAGGGGGAGAGAGAATGACTTGTGAGAGAGAGAGACCTCATGGGATGAATGCACATGAGATTTATGTGTTCCGTTCAGTGGCTTAGCATTTTGATCGTAAGAGTTTGAAAGAATTGAAATCATCCTGCGCAGAAGATTTCTTCTGAAGAGAAAAATCAATGAAACGCCCTTGGTATTGAAATATTCTACAATTTCTTCATGATGCTGCATTAAACCCTGCATTTAAAATAAAAAAAATAAGGAAACCGTACTGTGGTTACATCAATTCAACATGCATGCAACAGAGGAAATTAACATTACAAAACTGAATTATAAGTTCATACACATTATTAATAACATCAGTAAGTAATGAGTGTGGTCAAATTGCATAATTTCAAGGTTGTCCGTGTCAGAAAGATGGAAAATTTAGCGGAAAACATGTTTTTTTAACAGGTAAAATTCTGCAAAATGAAAATTACAATGTTATCAATCTTCTGTTTAATCTGTTGCAAAATAACAGTTTAATCATTTGCCAAAAAGAAATTATGAAAGTTTGAAACTCATACTATATTCAGCACATTTAAAAGAAGACCATGGACCTCACAATTGAGTAGTAATAACTTGATCCACAAGAAGGTTTATCAACTCCAAGTCTGATTGCAGCATAAAATCAACACATCTGAAATGGGACAAGTATATGGGGGGTGTTTTAGCTAAATTGAGCTTAGCTTTTTCAATTTGGATGCAATGTATAGACTCCGTCAACCAATCCTAAAGTCAAGGCATTGAACTAACTGTCGCTATAAGTTGCACAAACAATTCTGGGGAGAGATTGTTGACAGCGATGTTTTAATAAGTTTAGAAAATACAGTTTTAGAGGAATAAGTCCACAGAATGATTTAGAACATACGTCATCGAGCAGAATTACAGAAATTTTGACTTTGCCAGAAAAATTAGATTGTATGTTTATTGGAACCAGGATTGGAAAATTTGGGGGCTAATTCTCGGTCAAGACACATGCGATTACTTTATTTTAGTACATCAGGTAAAATTTACTTTGTAATTAGAACATTTGAGAAGTGCCTCTGTTTGTTCATCCAGAGGAAGTCCTTTTCCCCATTACTTTTCTTCCTCCTACACTCTGTAGCTCTTTTATTTAAAACAAAGAAATAAGTAATATTAATAATTTGAAACCTCCCATGTCAATAGATGCGCATTGAATTAATTAGGATTTTATTCGATGGATCTATAACACCACCTCAATCTCTTTGGTCATTACGTTTAGAGTGGTGCAACTCCTGTCTTTCTCCTATTTGTCCTAGTCATTCATCTTGGAGGAAATATTAACCTCCATTATTGTCACAACCCTCTATTCATGTATAAGAGTGCATGAGGATTATATTTGTTTGTTCTCATAAAGAAACACCCTATTTACCAATAGTGTGTGGAATATCTGTGATTATACTCAACATTATGTAATTGTTCTATGCAATAATTAGAAGATTACAGCAGGTTGCCTAACAAACTCACACCTGAAAAGCTTAATTGCTTGTCAAGATAATTCAATCATTTCCAGACCTGGGAACTCCATAATATCCTGCAAACAACATCCACAACAGATCATCAAAGCAAAAGACAAAAAGAAAGGCACCCTTAGCAGCCGAGACACTCTATGCATGACAAAAGAGGTTCAACTTGCTCAAACAAGAACTTGAGTTAGACCATCTCCTCGAACATATGTTACATAGACTCGGATATGGATGTTTGGTATTCGCCAACTTGGCAAAATAAGGGTTATATTTTTATATTTTTAAACTATTAAGTGAGATGAAATGGTATCATATATAATATAGTGTTAAAGAGGAATTTGATTTATAGACAGCAATATATATATATATAGTGTTAAGTACATATCTCACACCATTGTTTATTTGATTTATTCTAAAGAGTCCATGTAACGTGCCTGAAACTAGCTATCTTAGTTATTGTTCTAAGAGGATTAAAAATGTAGCTAGTGGTTTGGCTAACCAAACATGAAAGAAATATTACTTTTCTCTCAAGTCAGGCCAGTAATTCACGAGTCATGCTGTGCAAATGCTCAATAAAGAAAAAGAATAAACAATTCTCTCAAGTCAGGCCAGTAATTTTGATAACCATTACATGTAGAAAATCTTAAACTAGTAGTAAAATTTAAGCTTTCATTCTGACATTCATTGAGATATCCAGCTGCTGTTTCACATACATTTTCAGCAACAGGACCCCATAAAGAAAAAGAAAGGGGAAAATAGTCAGTTGTCCACAAAATCTAATGGGAAAATAACCATTAGTCACGTCTAACTTTGTGAAATTATAATTGAGGTAACCTTAATAGGATAATTACGAAACAAGTAATGGTAGCCATGAAAAATAAAATAGGGAGTAAAAGTTGGTCAAAAATTCAAGTAGGGTAATAACCCAAACCACTTCAGTCACCGCATCAACAATAAGGATACACAACTGTTTAACTTGAATTTCTAGGATATGCAATTGTTTTCTCATTCTTTCCATTGTGTTTGATGAGAAACGAAGAGCTATGCATTATGATGAATACATAGATATATATAAGGCAACTCATTCTTTCCAATAGTGACATCTACACAAGGTGCTCCCGATCAACGAGGCCGCACAAAAATAGAAGGGTATGACTGACCTTTTCTTTAGAAATGATAGTTGCACAAAATTAAAACAATGAAAATGCACAGAAAATATAATCTGTGGCTGAGATATATTTTTAGTATTATTTGGATTACACTTAAAATCAATCTAAACCACAGAGTGTACGTTTTATATATTTTTCTATATTTTAATTACATATATGTAGCATTGTTGACTTTTTCTCGTGCCCAAATAACCATGTAACAAGTAGTCTTATTGGTCCAGAAGCACCACACCCTCTTATATGGATTGCTATTAACACTATAAATGGTTGAAACAATTGTGATTCTGATGGGAAGTTCTGGATTCACTTTTTGTTTCTGACAAGTCAAGCGTGGGAACTATATTACTGATTTACTTCACACTTTCCATGGGCAAAATTAGTGGGGATGACAGTGCTATGAATGTGTAGTGGTGACAAGCAATGCTGGCTCTGAATAAGAGAAAAAAGAAACAGAAGATGATTCTAGCACTCCTAATCAACATAAGCACTAGACAACAAACTACTTAGAATGACTCACAGTGGGCATATCCACATAGTAGTTGATATGATTGAATGCAAGTGAAAGGGGTTGGAAGGGAAAAAACATTCCTTTTCTAGGTGCATGATCAGTAACACCAACACTAGAGTCAGCACCCCGTGAAGCATTTCTCACCGTCATATCAAAACCTATAAAATCAATCAGAAGATTTCAAAATTAAGATCAGTAGATCATTTTTTACACAACAGGGATCGATTAATGTCATGTCATGTGCTTGTTACAACCCAAGAAAAAGAACTAAAAGAGAAAGCTAGCTTTTTTTGATCCTCAAAAGTCTCACAAAAATTTGTCTTTACTTCTGTATTCAAAAACTGATTTTGTTTTTGCGCTGTTTAGATCTGATTTAAAACAAGATATCCTTTTGAAAAACCTATTCCTATTGTTGTTTTCTTAATTCCTCTTAGGATAAAGGAGTAACTAGTGACCTACGTGTTTTAACTTAATTGGCAGCAAGAGAAATAGAAGACGAGATCATTAAGTAAAGATCAAAAGAGACAAAGGTAAAGGCTCAAACCTTCAGAGGTCATTCGTCCAGATGATTTCTTATTCTTCTTTCCAACATCTTCATCCAAGACTATAGATTTTGAATCACTAAGAGCTGATGTAGAACATCCAGAAACAGGGTTGTTAAGCCTGGAAATCTACTTCCAACGAAGGAAATCCATTTTCAAATAAAAATATCTGAACCAAATGACTAGATGAGATAGCTTACGGTTCAAAAAAGTCAATGCTGCAATAAATAAAATGTTGAAGAGAAGAGAAAACCCCAAGAGTGCTCCAACACAAACCTAAAACATGTAGTCATCCGCGAAGAAGCCTCTAGACTTGAGAAGGACTTTCCCACCTGTAGGTGCATGAATTCGGGGGTCTGGATTGGGCTGCAATAAGAAAAATGTTCAGAATTTTGAGAATGTAAAGATACTACGCAAACAGTAAAAGAGAACTTACGGCGCTCCATCTTTTGTCAAGAAATTCATTAATGACTAAAGCATTTTGTCCATACATCACTGGAGAAATATAATAGCCCCATATCATAAATGGCTCAATGTCATCTGCGGGCACAAAAGGAAATGAATGGTTATAGATGTAGTGCTTTGATCATCGAATATATAAACAACCACATGAAAGAATCCACAACTTACTTGGCTAAATGTCAAGAAATATTCAACAATGTGGTATAAAGATTGGTAAATTAAAAGCTCATTCTAATTCAAGATAGGCTCAAAAGTGAAAATAGAAATCAGGCAGCTTACTTTGGGCAACTATAAATCCTCCAAGCAGAATATTCATTATCAATGTGCAGGTTCCTAAAGTGCATAC